GAACAAAACCTTCCTAGTTTTTTTGGTACTTTAATTCCTGAAAGTTTGCAAAAAAAAAGAAATGAAGGTACGTACAGACACTACACACATCGCAAAGCATCTCGTAGTGGAGACACGAACCAAAACACATTAAGCTCTATATCTTTCCAACTAGTAGCCGGAACTTAATATATAAGGTATCGTTTGAAAGGTATTGACCTATAGAATAACAAAATACTAAATATGTTGGGTGTATCCACCCCGGTAAACCGACAAAAGCAAAAAAATGTGTTTTTATGTTTCGCAACACTTTAGCTTAATTTTCCAGAATTCGGTTAATCGTTTATGAAGCTTGAATACATTTTGTGGACACACTCTGCAAGACCTTTCCTACGATACGTCAAACATGTTGATTGGACGTCTGGATAAAAACTTCCAAATCTCGTGTATATAAGCGAGTAATTTCAGTATGCTACTGTGGCTGCTTTCGTCACTCGCGCATACTGCAGTGCGCTGTGATTAACCCTTATTTGACACGTTGGCCAATGTGGGCTGCCATCTCGCTGCTTTAACGAAACCCCATCCCACACATTTGTATATAGATATCAGTGTTGCCACAAAAAAATTACCACATGCTTCAAAAACAAATGAAAAATCCTCAAATCCGAACAAATTACTAAAAATTTTCTTATGACAGATATGTGTATTGTGTAAGCGTTCCTGAAATATCGCGCGGAAATTGAATTCGTTCCGCCTCACAGGCGAACGTTAGTATTCTAGGGTTAAAGCTATTTATGTTCTGCATGGGGGTGCTTGAAAGTTTGACCAGCCATTTGAGGGAAATGTGAACAAAAATCAAAGTTTTTGATTTTCCGGCCGCCATGTTGACGTCTGCTCAAACCACTTAAGCTATGTATGATTAAATCGCTTCATTCGTAAGAGAATTTTTACCGAATGAAGACGCAAGAGAGAAAAATCAAAGAAAACCAAAGAGCTGCTTGTGTGGTGTATTTCGATCTTTATATAACTTCGGAAAGCTTATAGTTGAATAATTTGCAGAGCGATTTAACAACTCTGTTGTGTAAAACATGGTTGCATTTGTTATCTGCAAACATATCGAGAGAAAATTCCTCAATATAAAAATCCTCAAAAAATACTCAAGCGCACCCGAAATTTCTCACGTTCTGAGGAATTACTCACAAAGTGGCAACATTGATACATATGCAATTATGCGCGTCTATTTAAACTCTTTTAGTGGTAAATGATTAAAATAAGCAATAATATTATGAGATCTGCGAAGTTCGAGTTTGCGTTACCTAAGTCCAGATTTTGTTGTCGTATTTGAAATTCTGACTTACAACTTGTGCTACATATGTATGTATATGGCGTTCCAAGTTGTACGACTTGTGTTTTTTGGTAAATTTTGTAATCTATACATATATAAAAATTGTAGCAGGCCGATGTCTGTACATTTTAGATATTAAGGAAAAATTATTATTAGAGCAACAGAAGCCAAATCGGAAATTTTTAGAATTTTTATCTGTCTGTCTGTCTGGAAGTTTGCACGCATATGAGTCGAAAACTAATGCTTGGAATTGAACGCAGTTTTCACCTGTGTATTTCTGGAGGTCTAACTTAAAATAAAGAAGGAAAGAAAGAATTGGAGTTGTCACCTGTTTGAAAACTACAGTTTAATTTACTTGTTTTTGTTATTTTATGGCCTTATAACAATTATATTCAAAAATTTTTATTGAGTTCGAGGCCGTTTTCTAATGAAAACTTATTGTGGAAAAGCAACAATAATTTGAAAAAATGGTATCGAACCGACGATCCTTCCTTATCAGACTTCTTTCAGTAGGATTCGAACCGACGATTATAAATATAATTAATTAAGTTATTTGTTTTTGTTATTTATCGCCTTATAACAATTATAAATATAATTATAAATATAATTGTTATAAGGCCATAAAATAACAAAAACAAATAACTTCAGGATGAGCACACCTAAAATTTAAACATTCTAACAATAGAAAATATTAAAAACCAGCAATACCAACAACCACTCTATCAAGTGAATTGCAGCGGAACAGCTGCGCTTGATTGTAGTAGGCTTAGCAAGTGAAACAGTGGAAATAAGCAACAAGAATTAACAAGGCGAACTTAGCACAGTGCGTAGGCAACTGGCTGAGTCAGTGGGATCGTCGGTTCGAATCCTACTGAAAGAAGTCTGATGAGGAAATGTGGTGATTTCCGAAATAGCTATCACTTCTACCATTTTTTCAAATTATTGTTGCTTTTCCACAATAAGTTTTCATTAAAAAACGGCCTGGAGCTCAATAAAAATTGTTGAATATAATTACAGTTTAAGTAGATTGAAAGATAAAGTAGATATTGCTATATGACTGTAAAAAGAAATACGTCTAAGGCCGAATTCACAGTGCTTAGTTAAACCATTGTTAACTTAACCACCAACAAGGTTTTAATTATGAATTTATATTCAGAGTCACATAGTTAACTATAGAAATTCGTATCGCCTGAAAATATACAAATTCTAAAAATCAATACTTTTCTATTCAAATTTGAAATTAGTTCCACAAAAAAAATTTATTTCACAAGAGTTTAACTATGGGGGCATGCTGGTTTAAATTTTTGTTAACTGAGCGTTGTGAATATGAAAATAAATAGTTAAACTCTTATCAGTGGTTAACTACGCACTGTGAATTTGGCCCTAAGAAGGCTTAAAGCCGAAAATATTTTTGTTGAAGGTTGCCACCTGTTTGAAAATTTTAATTTAATTTAATTTATAAGGTAAAGTGAATATTGAAACATGGGTATCCAACTGAAGAGGCTTAGGTAAGTTTACTGCCGGGAATCGGAGCAGCCAACTTGGCTCAAACCGTGCCATTTTTGGCCCTATTTTACCCCAAATGGCACTTAATTTTTCAATTTGGCACAGACTGCCAAAATGGCACTTTTGAAAAATAGTAATATTTGAATACATTTTTGTGAAATTCTTTACATGTACTTATTTTTCGCAACTAAAATTTGCTAATTTCTATAGCTTATACAACTGGTTTATCTTACTTTCGCATTGGACTTTTGTTTTGGGAATGTGTCTCTAATTTTAATGCTAAATAGGAAGAATTAAAAAGAACGGCACATTTTTTGGCACTTTTAGTTTTCTATTTGGCACATTTTGGCACTTTTTTGTCCTCAATGTGGCACTTCATAGCTAAGTATAGTTCGCAGCCCTGCCGGGAATGTGTTTGAGACAGGTTGCTACCGGTTTGAAAAATTTTACTCTATTAAATTGATAAAATAAATGGAATGTTACAATATGGGTATCAAACAGCACAAAAATACTTTTGAGGCGCAGTGAAGCATGCCGAGTATTCGCTAGTCAATAATACAAAGTTCCACAGAGAAAAGTAAAGGGTTAAAACTAAGATTATTTTGTTATTTTTACTGGTTGATTCAGTTTTTAATTACAAATAGGAAAATCAAAACCAGTTATATGTATGTAAAGTAGGGATGTTAATTTTTTTCGATTTTTACGATCCCGGGATTTTCGGGATGTCGTTGGTTCGATCCCGGGATTTTCGGGATGTCTTTGGTTCAATCCCGGGATCCCGGGATCAATCCCGGGATTTAGATATTTATTATTTTTCAACGACTTAACATGAAAAAAATTGCATCAATAGGTTGGAGAAGCCCTCCTACCATACAATGAATAATATGTAAATAGGTTTGAAACGTACTTTTAATTTAAAGTGAAAATTATTTCATAAGTAACAAAACGTAACACAGTAATTAAATTCTTATGCATTTAATAATACTTTAGTGTGCACATATCTAATAAAGTAATTTAAGATATGTCGAAAAAACCTCGATGCCAAAAAATTAAATAAAAAAATTTATTTTCTGGTTGAAAGAAGTTCATAAAACTCGTGGTATAAAAAAAAGCGCGTTAATTCGACCAGGTTTGTTTATCCAAAATTTAAATTTTTTTATAAAAGTCTACCTCATATTCCACATAATTAACTGCATATAAATGGGCATTTCTTTGATGTCATGATTTTTTTTTTAAGACTTTCTCGAGCCCTAACCGCCAAAATAACGTAAGCTACATTTTTTCTCAAAATTTTCTTTTTGATGCAGAAATAGTCCTAGGCCATCTAGATGCATTTCTGCATCAAAACGAAAATTTAAAAGAAATGTCACGTTATTTTGGCGGTTAGGGCTCGTTATAATTTCAAAGATATGGTTAATTCGAAAGTGTATTTAAAACAAATTCAGTGCAATGTAAAACAAATTAAGGGTACCAAATGAAATTATTTTTTGTGTTCACAAGAACGAATAAGAATTGAAAATGCCTGTTTAATCAGTTCTATTTTTTAAGCTTATAAAGTTAGTCCTTAACACATAATTTTTTCAAAAATAAGAATTGAAAAATTTCAAGCTATTCGAGGATAAAATTATAAAAGGGTATTTTTAATACCTACCCGTCCCTTACGCACCAAAAATTGTAATGTGTTTTAACTCTACAGATCTTCTTCTTCATTTGATACCCATAATGGTTTTTTAAGTATATTGCACTGAAATTTTTAAATCATTTTTTGAATTACTCTTATCTTTAAAATTTCAAAGTTCTTTTAAAAAATACTGACGTCAGAGACAAAAATTAAGAACGCGATTTTACTATAGTTGGGCCTTGGTTTGGCGAATATATTAATTTTTTCGTGTCCAAAATTGCCTGCCGCGAGGTGTTATACGTATATTGAGCTAAACATTTATAAAAAAATGTTAAAAATTAAATAAACAAAAGAAATATAGCCAAAACTGTTCAACATAAAGCGTTTCAATTATTGCCACCAGTGTAAATTTCAAATCCCGGGATTCTAGGAAAATAATCCCGGGATTTTCGAGACTTAAAAAAGACCGGAATCCTGGGATCCCGGGATTTACATTCCTAATGTAAAGCCTGTATTACAGTAGTTTCTTTTTTTTTTGCATATTTGTAGATAAAGCACTTCCTGCTGAGACGGAATATGCCATTCGGCGGTGATCTGCGAGCTATCGATATTCAGCGGAATCGAGACCATGGATTAGCATCTTACAACGATTTAAGAGAGTTTTGTGGCCTCAAGCGAGCCAGTAGCTGGGAAGATTATGGTGATCTCATCGAGCTCAATGTATGAAAAAAAACGGTCAGGGTGTCCCCGACATTATATAAAACTAATTTTTTACTCTACAGATTATTGAAAAAATGAAATCCTTATACGCCAGCCACGAAGACGTTGATCTTACTGTGGGCGGTGCCGTGGAGGCACATATAACAGGAGCTCTTGCTGGACCCACATTCCTTTGTATACTTACAGAACAGTTCTATCGTACACGTGTTGGCGACCGATTTTGGTATGAAAATGCAGATCCATTGACAGGATTCACAGAAGGTAAAACAGTCTAATTTTTTTTTAATATGTTATTTACCGTTATCGTGATGGTCGTTAGTATTTCACTTCGACAGTCGTTTAGTTAGGCTTTCTGCACATTGGTCGTGCAATCACAGTTGCTTCATCGTCACAATCATGATGCAACCATTACATGACGTCTACACTTTCGCACACTCGGTCGTGATATTTCAATTCATTTCGCGGCTAAAAATTCGCTAAGAGCAGGTATTTTCTGTTTTTTTGGTTAATATTTTCGCAGTCTTTACAAAAACTTGCAATTTTAAAATTATGAACTGTGCTGCAACAATTACAGACGTAATTTATTATAAATCTCTCGTCTTTTCTTCTCGGAAATGTATTTTGTTCACTCACGTAGACAATTTTTACAATTTCGATATATCTGAAAGTTATTGAATTTTATAGCAATTATACACTTTTTAATAGTTTCCATAGATTCTATATAAGAAATGAGTATTTCTGTAATTTTAGTGCAAATATTAACCTTTTCACTAATTTTGTAATAAAATGTAAAAAAACAATGCGTGCATAACGATAAGCAAACGACAGTGTCGTACTTATCTGTTTCTGCATCTTCTACGATTTGCCAACGATAACGCAACCATGATTGGACGACAAGTGTTCAGATAGCCTTAGGCACCCACAGAGAAGTTCTTCTTCTTCTTTTTTGGCGCAGTAACCGCCTAGCGATTTTGGCCGAGATCAGCAAAGCACGCCAGTCGTTTCTCCTCTGTGCCAACTGACGCCAATTGGAAATGCCAAGTGAAGCCAAGTCCTTCTCCAACTGATCTTTCCATCGCAGTGGGGGCCTCCCTCTTCCTCTGCTACCACCAGCGGGTTCCGAGTTGAATATTTTCAGAGCTGGAGCATCGGTGTCCATTCGAACGACATGGCCAAGCTAGCGGAGCCGCTGTATTTTAATTCGCTGCACTATGTCCGTGTCGTTGTAAAGCTCATAAAGCTCATCGTTCCATCGTCTGCGGTACTCGCCGTCGCCAAGGCGTAAAGGCCCATAAATCTTCCGCAAAATCTTTCTCTCAAACACTCCAAGCGCCGCCTCATCGGATGTTGTCATTGTCCATGCTTCTGCGCCATATACCAGCACGGGAATGATGAGTGACTTATAGAGCATGGTTTTCGTACGTCGAGAGAGGAATTTGCTCCTGAATTGCCTACTCAGTCCAAAATGGCACTTGTTGGCAAGAGTGATTCTGCGTTGGATTTCAATGCTGACATTATTATCGTTGTTAATGCTGGTTCCCAAGTAAACGAAATTCTCTACTTTCTCGAAATTTTAACTGTCCACAGTGACGTGGGTGCCAAGGCGCGAATGTGCTGACTTTTTGTGTGATGACAGGAGATACTTCGTCTTGTCCTCGTTTACCACCAGACCCATTCGCTTTGCTTCCCTATCCAACTTGGAAAAGGCAGTCGATGTCATCGGCATAAGCAAGCGATTGCACGCTCTTGTAGTAAATTGTTCCTGAGCGGTTCAGTTCTGCAGCTCTTATCATCTTCTCCAACAGCAGATTAAAGAAGGTCACATGAAAGGGAGTCGCCCTGTCTGAAACCCTGTTTTGTGGCGAACTGATCGGAGAGGTATTTCCCAATTTTGACGGAGCTGGTGTTATCGCTCAACGTCATTTTACACAGCCGTACGTGTTTTGAGGATATGCCAAATTCAGACAAAGCGGCATATAGGCAACTCCTTTTAGTGCTGTCAAAGGCGGCTTTGAAGTCGACAAATAGGTGGTGAGTGTCGATCATTTATCGCGGGTTTTTTCCCAGATTTGGCATATTGTGAATACCTGGTCTATGGTGGATTTTCCAGGTCTAAAGCCACACTGATAAGGCCCAATCAGTTCATTGACGGTGGGCTTCAGTCTTTCACACAATACGCTCGATGAGACCTTGTAACCTATGCTTAGAAGGCTGATCCCGCGGTAGTTGGCGCGAATGGCGGGCTCACCTTTCTTGTGGATTGGGCAGAGCACACTTAAATTCCAGTCGTCGGGCATGCGTTCATCTGACCATATTCTGCCCAAGAGTTAATGCACGCACCTTATCAACTCCTCGCCGCCGTACTTGAATAGCTCAGCTGGCAGGCTGTCAGCTCCAGCAGCTTTGTTGTTTTTCAGCCGCGTTATTACTATACGTACCTCGTCAAGGTCAGGCGGTGGAACGTCGCCTCCGTCATCATCGACTGCGGGCTCGGGTTCTTCTTCTTCACAACTTTCTGTGCTGCTAACATTTAGTAGAGCGGAAAAGGGTTCCCTCCATAATTTTATTACGCTCTGGACTTCAGTTACTAGTTCGCCATTATTGTCCTTACAGGAGTACGCCCCGGTCTTGAAACCTTCCGTAAGTCGCCTAACTCTCTGGTAAAGTCTTCGGGCATTCTTCCTGTCGGCCAGCATTTCAAGCTCTTCGCATTCACGTATTTCGGCCTCTCTCTTCTTATTGCGGCAAATACGTCTCGCTTCCCTCTTCAAGTCCCTATAGCAGTCCCACAAAGCGCGCGTTGCGCCCGACCGCAGCGTGGCTCTGTAGGCGGCATCTTTTTTATCTGCAGCTTCCTGACACTCCTCATCGTACCAGTTGTTCTTTCGGGCTCGCTGAAATCCGACTACTTCTTCGGCGGCAGTACTTAATGAGCGGGAAATGTGGTTCCACTGCTCGCATATGTCGGTTTGTTGGGGAGTGCTCTCTGAGAGCAGGTGTGAGAGTCGAGCAGCGAAAGCGCTGGCTGTCTGTTGTGATTGCAGCTTTTTGATGTTAAGCTTTCCTTGCATATTTGGGCGCACATTTTGTGCTGCACAGAGGCGGGTGCGTACCTTGGCTGCAACAAGATAGTTGTCCGAGTCGATGTTTAGGCCTCGGAGTGTGTGTACGTCTAAAACACTGGAAGCGTGCCTTCCGTCTATCACAACATGATCGATTTGGTTTCTCGTTTTTCGATGCGGAGACAGCCACGTAGCTTGATGGATCTTTTTATGCTTGAACCTAGTACTGCATACTACCATGTTTCGGGCCCCGGCGAAGTCGATCAGCCTCAATCCGTTGTCGGACGTTTGGTCGTGGATGCTGAATTTTCCGAGGGTGGTTCCAAAGATCCCTTCCTTGCCCACCCTGGCATTGAAGTCGCCAGCACGATTTTGATATCATGATGGGGCAGCGCTCGTACATGCGCTCCAAGCGCTCATAGAAGAGATCCTTGGATGCCTCATCCTTCTCTTCCATCGGGGCATGGGCGCAGATGAGCGAGATGTTAAAGAATTTCGCTTTGATGTGGATTGTGGCGAACTCCGAATTTGCGCTCCTTTACATGGCAGCTGTAGTAGACGTCGCAAGGCCCCATACATTGCTTGCCTTGCCCCGTCCAATGCATTTCTTGGATGGCGGTGATGTCAACTTTTGTCCTTACGATGACATAAACCAGCCGGGCACCTTCCCCATTAAGAGTCCGGACATTCCAGGTGCATGCCTTCAAATCGTAGTCCTTTAAACGTTTGCCGTGGTCGTCATCATAAGGGGGAGGGGGTCTCATCCGAGGCTTTGCCTTGCTTCTTCACTGGAAGTGGTTTTTACGTGGCGGGTCCCAAACCCAGCGCACAACCCATTGCTGGGACACACAACCCATTGCTGGATCACAATCGTTTGTAGGTCTACGATAGATACAAATTAACGTTTGGCAGATCTTGCTATTTCTACAAAAAAAAAGTTCAATATTTCTACGGAGTTTAGTCCCCTGTTTATTTTGTTAATTATAGCGGTAGAATGTTGAATTGCCGATAGATGACATTCAGTCTTCTTTAATGCACAATATATAAATTATTGACGCGAAATGGTTTTGGAGAAATGTATGTACCTAAATTGAGCAAACTATACCGAATGTATCTACTCTTTAATGTAGAAAAATTATTTAGAATATCACAATCGCTTGTAGGTCTACGATTAAGCAACCCATCATTTTTGACTGAAAAAAAGGAAAAGCGCGCCACGGCCAACAATTTCGCGGGATTTAGGAATAAAAAAAAAAAAATAAAAAAAAAGGATATCAAAATTGGAAAAAAATGTCTGATATTAATACATTTTATTCGTTCAAGGAACTTACAATCGTATGATAAACTGCATTCCTCAAGTAATCAAATTAATTATCGACAAGATCACATGTTCCCATCTTCGCACACTTCATCATCACTATCTTCAGCGTTGGCATAATTTTTGGTAAAATATTTGTCCGTTGCAGCAATTTTGCGAAGTAGTTCTCAGCTTATTTTTTAAATGTCGTAGAACCCTACTCACGAATATTTTCTCCCATTTCTGAGCGTTCTCAAGCATTGCCCATTCATTGTAGCTGAACTGTTAAACTATTCGGTTGAAATGTCGCTTCGCTCCCGCTGGGCTTTGTGCTCAAAGTCATTATCTAAAGACAATTCGTTAATTGTCATGGATGCAAGTCGTCATATCATAAGACATGCTATAGTGATTTTGACTCTTCAGCTTTTGAATTAATTGAATCTAAAATTAATATCGGTGCGTTAACATGAACTGGTGAAAAATGATAGCTGAGCTAATTTATGAAGTGAGAGACTTTAAACTGCAACCAGGGTTGTCGTTTTCGGCTTTTCCTACCAAAGTTGGTAGGTTTTTTTTTGGTTGGTAGAAGGGTAGGATGCTTAAAATTTTGGTAGGTTTCTTTGCTCATAAAACAGAAAACATCTCTAATAGTTTCAACAATGACAAGGATGTTAAAATATTTTAAACGGCACTAGAAGAACGATTCAAAAGTATACGTGTTTACAGAAAATTTAATTTTTATCATACACAAAAATAAAAAGAAAGCAACTTTTGTTATTCCAGTAAATCGGAGAATCTCAAAATTTTTAACCGCAACTCACAGATTTCGCCCCAAGCCCTGAGGATCTTAGACCCGGGCATTTGTCAAGCCTAACCGTGAGGGCTTTGTTTACCTTACTTATGTATATATGTACGG